AATCACTTAAAGGTGACAGTGTGGATAACTTCAGAAAAAAGGTGCGTTTCTAAGTAGGTGGTTTTGTAACAATCAGCATATGAAAGGTAATCATCAAATACAGTGAGAAAAGAAAACTCAGATCAAAGCTGCAGTTTAATATGAATCAAGAGTCCGATGAAAAGATTATTCAAAGTGTGATAAAATGCACTGAATAGAGTTTAGAAGATCGTAACCTGGTTTGTATGTTTTTTTGTTAGGACAGGAGGAGACATATTTGCGGGTCCCTTTTTTAATCCCTTCACGTTTCCAGCGGAACATAGGGTTTCAAGCTAGAGGCTTGAAGTTTCTGTAGCAGTGTTTATTTTTTACAGGATGGGGTTGGTAGCCTCATGCCCAACCTTTCCTCTTTACCAGCTTTACTTCTGGCTTAGCGAGGTAAAGGAGTGCGTCGGCCAGGGATCGAACCCCGGACCATGTGCATGGTCGGCGAGCATCCTAACCGCTGTGCCACCGACACACAGGTCAGTGTTTCCCACTTAATCTGTAAACTAGAAATTTGAACTTAACGTAGATTAAACGTCACGTTACTTGATTCTTATTGGTGCGTACTTTCCAGTCGCAATACAGTTTTAATGGCCTGTTGGAAATGCTTTTCATGACCCGCCAAGTTTCCGACGCATAGAAAAGAACTGACTGACTTAATATTGGAGCTAAAAATTGGACTTCGAGACTGATTTCAGAGTGATGAAGGCCTGTGTTGCCTTTCTGATCCTGGCAGGCTTTGACATTTCAGCCTGTAGGTGAAACGTTCCTTCCTGGATAAGTGAAGGAAGTATCCACTTTCAAATTTTCCCGGTTGATAGTGATTGGCGTTTGTTGTTGGTGGTGGTGTATGGTGCGTGGGAATCTTGATCATCACCGTCTTTCCTATGTTCACTTAGAGTCCTGTCTTCACCGCCTACTTTTCTGCCAGCTTAATGATTTTCACCTGTAATTCTTGGAGTTCGTGTGGCACTAGGTATAACTCATTCGCGAAATCCAGATCTTCTACAGTCCTCTTATCGGTCTAGCGTATTCTTGTCTTCATGCTCCTCCCAGTCACCAGCATAATCCAGTCCACCATAATTAGGAATATCATCATCGGCGATAGTAGGCAGCCAGTCTTGTCTAACTCCTGTCTTCACTTCAAAGTCTTTGCTGAGTTTCCCCTTGTGGATGAATTGCTGAATGAAGTTGATAAAGATTTGGGGCACTGCACTCCATAGTATTGAAGTAGTTCCCAAATTACTTCGATTAACTCTACCGAAGGCTTTTCACAAAGTCAATGAAGTTGATGTAGAGGTGTGACGGCTATTCTATACTTTGTTCGGTGATGAAGCAATAAGCGTTTGCCCTTTCAATAAGTCTTCTCTCGACTTTCCATTATGAGAATAATAGTAGGTTGACCACTTGTGTATCATCTCCTTTTGGCTTATCAGTAGAACGAATCGAAATTGAATATTATCTTCGGTCACAATAGTTTAAAATTAAAGTTTAACGAAGAACGAAAATCTAATAAGAAATGGTTATGCTATCAGCTTAGCAAGTTACTATCGTAGAAAACTAAGTGAACCGTGAGGTAGTATAAACTAAAGGCAATGCAATACTGATATAATCGTTAATAAATTTACTAGTTTGCGCTAACCAACTTCCTACTTAATCGATTTGGCAAAGTTCAACAATAGCGTCCCAAAGGATTCGAACGCATGAGTGACCCTGAGAAGACCAGTCATAAAAATGAGGAATTTTCGCATGAAAAATGACGTATATTTACATGAAAATGCATGAAAACACATTAAACAGGATATCTTTTTCTGACATATGACTTAAAAGTACGTCCCAATTATAATGAGGAGTATCAGTTGCTAAGTTGGACTAGTTTCTGCACATGTACTCACCGACGTGACGGAAGATGAGCTGTTTTTGTGAATTGTTTGTCTCTCTTATCCTGTTGAGCAGTCTTCCCCAAAAGCCTTCGGTTGAATTACTATGGTTCCCAGTAAGAGGATCGACAACTACTTACCAGGGAAATGTGGATAAATAAACAAATTAAAATGAATGACATCAACTCTAAATCTATTCCTAATCGTAACCCTAACCTCAATCCTGACTCTAAGCACAAGCTTAGCACTAACCCCGACCCTGATCCTAATCCTAACCCCAATACTTATCTTAACCCTAATGAACTATTAATACATTGTCCAAACAGCACTTAAAAACGTGATCTGGGCGAAATTTGCTCCTTAGCTGGTGAATAGCGTTGATATTTCAGCTATGATAATGACAGGTGGTGCCGTTAGTCAACGACTAGCTTGCGTTCAAGGTCATTGGAGCGTTCGCACTACTGGGACGCCGTCTATTTGCTAGCTTACTGTTCTAATCACTACTACTAATAAGTTGGCGGGGGAAATGAAATAAAAACCACACTGTACTGTAAAGATAAATGTAGTATTTTAGAAAAATTAGTTCTGTATGACAAATAGATAAGTGACAGATTGAAATAGTTGGAGGCAATCGGCAGGAATCTCTGGAACTGAGTTTGAATTAATATTGGGCGGTAAAAAGCAGTTTTGCAGGAATCACAAGATCTGGATTTCGTACTAACTGGCACTAGTCATTGGGGTGTATCTGCGATGTAGATTTTTCCTTTGAGATTCAAATGTGTGTCACCCAGCACACTGCTGTCACAGACGTTCATTCTGAAGGGACAAAGACGTTTGAGGTTGGAGAACTTTGCAGACGGAACGAGATTGTGTTGGATAATGCATATTTTAAATTGCTGTTTCATTCGAAGATTCTGTACAAGGAATAGATAAAACCAAGTTGAAAATTCTGTACTGCATATAAGCATTCATTGTCACTAATTTCTTCTGAAATAGGCTTACGAATTACATATTAAGCTATGGTAAGGTTTTGAGAGGACGTGAAACTAACTACCACTTATAAGCGTTCTAATTATTAGGTAATTCGAAGCACAGTACAACTGCAATTCAGTGTAGACAATTCAGTGAAGAAGGTATAAGAAGTTTTCCACCGACAAACCGAAAATTAGAACAAAATTGGTTCCCAGTACCCCCTGGTTATCAATATTTTTCTAACTGATCAGTAAAGCTTCTTGTCAAATGTTCAGATTGCAAAAGATCTTGAACCACCTAGCACTGATTCTAGAAGACTAATTTGTGCCCCCAGAAAACTTTGTGCGATAACCGACTGGAGAATATCAGAAAACGTGTTGGAGATATGAGAATCATTTATTTCTTCGTCCAAAATGAAGCAGAACATCAGGGTCACAAGGCACACAGTCTATGAATAAACGTTAATACAAAGCACAGTGATACTTCTGATCGTATTTCTTCAGTCTTCTACCGACCAGCGTAAGATCAGGCAACGGCTGCCATTGTTTTTTCCCGCCAAATGGACGTCAGTTCCAATAAACAAACCATATGTTGCATATTCAATATTCACCAACAATGACACCTCTACAAACCGACACCTGAAAATTTTCCCTACCCCAAAAATCATTTGGGTCCTCTAATCTAAATTATCATAAACATTTATCTGTATACTGACAAGACATGTATGCCTTCATATCAAAGAACACAGACAACTACAAATATCAATTTGACTGAGACAAAGCAGACATCTTAAACAGAGGAAGCTCGCGATGAACGCCAGAATATTCCTAGAAGTCTGATATTCAGTTCCGTTTAAAATTGATTGAGGTGGGACTATGCCGATGGAATTCGTCAATCAATGCTGGATAAATCACACAATGAAGAGATCGACTATCAAGTCATCTAAAAGATCAGTGAGAATGAATGAGAAATACTCAAAGGACAAACGACTTGTAGTAAACGTTTCGTCAAGGAAAATGGTTCTTTCATTCATGGAGATTTCCGGAAGCTCACTAGGAAACAATAAAAACTAAACACCACAGTCAAATGACCCGCAATCAACCAATCAGGTCGATAAACACTACAAATGGATGCCTTTCATGATCTTCGTTGAACGTTTAAGGTTAGGCTAGTATTAAGGTAGTGTTATGATTAAGGATAGCGTGAAACTTATAACGAAGATTATAAAAAGCGTCCATTTGTAACGCCAAGCGATATGATTACTTGGTTCATGGTCATTTGACCTCTCAAACCAAGAGCCCCCAAGGAAAGCACAAAGAAAATCGCCCTGCCATATATAAAGGATATCTGAGAAATCACTGCAAGACTCGTCAAACCTTTAGGAATTGACGTCGCACACAAACCAACAAAATCACTTCACTCAGTCAGTCCTATTTCAATCAAAAGACTCAATAGCGAAAGAAGATAAAACCAACATCATCTACGAAATAAATTGTAACGACTGCGAGAAATACTACACTGGCCGAAGCGGACGTCCCCTTAGTCTTCGTATCCATGAACATAAGCTAGTCGTCAAAAGACATGATATCCACTCCCTCACTCATATTGCTGCATATAGACAGCCACGGGCATCAATTCGACTGGGACAACGTCCAAATATTAGAAGCTTGGCATTCCAGTGAATCATCAATCAATAGACACATCGAGATAGACAAAATTTATCAACCGATAAGAAAGAAACCTGACACAAAAAGGGTCAAAGTTCAAGTCAAAGAAACAATGAGTTACAATACAAATAACCTAGAAGGTGTGAAAACACACAAAAACAACCAATCACGTCCAAGGTCGACAGGGGAGATGATTAATAAACTCGTGGAGAAATCTGAAAGCTCACTTCCACAAATTGAAGTATGCGCTGAAGGAAGATGTCGCCTAGTGTGGCGATGAAAGCTTCGCAAATTAACTGTCCAGCTAACTCAGAGAACACAACCACATCAAAATGTTGCCACTTACTCTCATTTGAGGTGGACGCTGAATATGTTGCCTAGAAGGACAATGAGTGCTTCTCACTTAAATCATCCAATTCACAGATAACAGAAAACGCCAGTCATTTGAATAAGAACATGTTTATTTATCTCAGTATACTGATAAAAAACAAAGAAATCTTATGACACAGAAATGATATTATTTATTCATAAGGCATTGCTTGTATTGTTTCTGTTGAAAAGTATGTTTATACAACAGTATAGAGAACACATGCATATCACTTAGTTTTTCTTCAAAAAAGACAGCGTTCAACACATAATAAAGCTATGCCTAAATAGGCTCAGATTAGGCATGTTTAACTATAGAAAAATGTATAGTTCTCATTTATGTTTCAGCTTCATGAGTGTGCTTCAATTTGGATTCATCGTTTATTATTGTCGTGTACTGGGGAAACCAGAATTCCTAACATCTGAAGCCAGGGTAATACACTGAGATATGCATTAATCAGAGGATTATTCAAAGCACTATCGGGATGACACGTAATGGATGCTTGCTTGATCCCAAACTGTATTATGTATTGCCATGCATTTATTTGGAAAATTTATTCAAGCATTTTGAACTACTTACAAATTTATAAGTAGCAATATGTGAATAGTCAGCATTTACTCTGACTAGAAGGAAGAAGTATTGTATTCATTAGATATGACCGATTTACATGTTTACTTTCCCTCCAGTTCAATCAATAAATAATAATGCATGTGATATGATATACATAAAAAGGTTGTTGAACTGAGCAGAGAGTATGAATTGGCATTTCATGCATTTCAGTAGTTACAAGAGATTTTTGAAGGCGTAAGGTGTAGGAGTATCCTTGTGAAGATATAAATGCACATTATATTTACTTATCATTATTTTTAGTATTCTCTGTGTTTGGTAATTTATTTTCTAAAGAATTTGGTGCCACCGAATAGGCGGATTTCTTCTCTGTACCTATTGAAGAACCATCATCTAAACTGCCTTGACTACATCCTAATTGATTTTCTGTATATCCTGGAATTGTTCCAGGATGTAGATTATAATCAGGATGCAGCAGTACAACTGGTCCATGTGGTCCTTGTGGTCCTTGTCCATGTATTTGTCCAGGTGTATTCATACAACTCCAGTTTTGCATCCATGGTGATTCAAAGCCAATACGATGAATACGTGGGTCAGACATATGTAAACTTGTTGAAGCGGTTTCAATGGATGCTGCAGGTCCAGCGGTAGCAGCAATTGCTGCACCACTGCCTGTTACTGCTGTATTATACTCATGGGATAACATATGCGGTATCAGCTCATTCGCCTGTTCTTGTTTCGCTTTGACACAGTGGGATTTACGTTGTTTCAGCTCATGTAGTATTTTTGGAAAGCATAAATTTGGTAGGACAGCACAAAAAACAGACAGTAAGCCACTCATAATTGTGATGACATACGCCCAACCAAGTTGACAGTGACCTAAAGTGTTTTGTAAAGGGAAATATAAAAAAACAGAGGAAATTAAGGATTACATCCACTCAATTTCAAGGTTGCAACAAGTCAATATTGGCAAAAGAATGGTTGAAGGTGGTCTGTGTAGATAAAGGTTTTATCATGAGTTGATATCATTTAGACAACCACTGTAAAACCAGCAAATGAGTACTAGATACTCGTTTCATCAGCCTATTTTGGGACTAATGGGTAGTACACATCCTCCACCAGGGTTCAATCCATGACCTCCCGGTTACAAGACAACCTCGTAGACCAATAAGCCACTGGGACCAGATCGAATGACCAGGCTGTGAATTCCAGCTCCTATTATTTCGCAGTATATATAGCGCAACCGCCAGGCAGTGTCACAGGCGAGTAACTACTAACTTCTAACCTAACTTGGCAGCCCCCGCTGGCTACGACTTCTCACTAGGACTTCAAGTGTAACTGAAATGTCCTGGGTTCGAAACCCGGCGGATGAGATGTTTTTTCCTTTACGTTCCCAGTGGAACATTGGGCTTCAAGCTACAGCTATTAAGTTTCGGTACCAGTAGTGTTTATTTTTGTAGGATGGGGTTGCTAGCCTGATGTCCAACCTTTCCTCTTTACCAGTCTTATTACTGGCTCAGCGAGGTAAAGGAGTCCGTCCGTTCACCGGGAATCAGACCTCGAAACATATGCGTGGTCGGCGAACATTCTACCACTGTGCCACCAACGCATACTGCCGAAAAATCCAAAACTGGGACGAAACAGCTATCCAGTACTCCCTGCTGGTTTTCAATAGTTCTCTAACTGATGTCAGTTCATGATGAAGTCCTGTAACCAAATAAATCCCGACAAACAAACACGTCATAAATCGATATCAGTTCGGTCAACGTGCAGGACGAAGTGGAAGTGATAGACAAATATGTCACTCAAGCTGGAGATACCTAAGCAGTCCAATCCCAAGACTAACTTCATAGCCCGACAGAAAGTCGTCACCTTTTGTTGCACACTGTCCTGTAACGAATCTATGAATTCGTTATTTTCAACTCTAAAGGCAACTTTCAAGTGTTAGTTTTGCACGGATTCGATTAGTTCATAGTTGCAGGACTCACAGATTGGCAGCAGTTAGAGAACCATTGAAAATCTGGGGGTTTCTAGTCACTTGTTTCGTCCTGGCTTTGGATTCTTCAGCACAACGCACCCATGATTCTACCAAAGATTTAACCTAGGATGTTCATTTTACGGGGCTAGCTCGTTGACCACTCAAACATTAGGACGAAATCCAATGGCTGATGGGTTCTAACTTCTGTTAGATCTCAATTTATAGCAACACTGCCTCTCAATATTATCAGTAAGTATTGGTCCCGCCCCACCCCACAACTTGACTCTAATTTCATATCATTGATGAAGAATCTCCCTTAAAACTGATTTAACATGCTTTATACGATATTTTTGAAAGTTCTGGCGATGAAAGTAAGAAGACATCAGCAACTCCAACGTAATAAGAGGTAGACAAGCCACTAAATATGTGTAGATTAACCTAGGGAAGCGTTCTTAGCACTCGAGATCAGTGGAGGAACAGAGAAATTAAGGTGAAATCAATCTAGTCAGATCATTCTATTGACAGTTGTAAGGCGTGGTAGGTTGATCAGTGTGTTCACACAGCTAATTATTCCCCAAAAAGGATTCAACGGTTAACTAGTGCTCCCTAGATCTCAGTATTTTGGTGTATGCATAATATAAGCTGTTTCCTGAGTAAATCTTCGAACCACAAATTGTGGGATTACTGACCAGACTGAGGAGACTGAAACATCGAACACCTGTGTTGTTCGTCTGGTGTTGACCTTATCAGCAGTGTAGACATGGGACCGAATCAATTGAAATCGTCTAGATTCTAGTTAGGTGCATGGATAAATTAATATTAACGTTGAGCCTAATTCCCTATTTCCCTGTGGTTAATTCACTTCGATTTAACTAGCTAGCAAGCATTTCCGGTTGACATGATGAGGTTTTCAACTACTCATACTGGTCAGAAGTGTATGTTATGTGACATACGTCTTAGGTATGACGTCAGTAAAACGCCACATAAGCACACACACACTAATGGGTGGTTCCTCCCCCAACTGAGGCTCAAACCCAGTACTTATAGTTTCAGACGTCAAAGCATTATCCAGTAGACCACTTGGGTCATGACAGCTACGTCTTGTGCAAGAGTATCAGTTATCATTTAGTTGGATTTGAACTTTCCTGTTGACTGATTGGACCAAAGTGTTCGTGAGAACACCAACACTCAACCAGTGATGAGTCCCAAGCAGGACGAAATGCACGTTATCCTAGTTTCCACTGCTAGGCACCATCCACCAGATTACTTCATGTTAAATCCTCAGAAATCTTAGAAACATGCGCATATGGAGCCGACATATCACAAGAGGCCTAACATTTCGGTTCATCTGGTCAACAGGAGAGTCTTGAGTGAATTAAATAATATCTTTTTATTCTGTTATGTAGAACCTGTCATGTCGTTGAACGCGGTAGGTTGGATCGAAAGTGGAAGTACCATGAGCAATTAATGTATAAATGTGCATACTCTACCTCTAATTTTAAAAAGGAAAGCGGATCTCTGGTCTCACTGTTAGAGTTGTCATCAAAACTCGCACAGCTCATCGATAAGTTATCCAATGATATTGTCAGCTTTAGAGAAAAATATTAAAAAGGTTGACTGAGTACACACGAAATAATTCGCAAATGCTTAGTAATTCATGAACAAGTAAAGACACAAAGGCTTTCCTCTCTACTGCAAATACCAATACGGATGACTATTGTGAGTACACTGTTTAAAATTTATTGGATGCATACAGTTTGATAAAGATACGCCTAAATTTCATCTAATTTCATTTTGGAAGGGAAAACACTACTTTTATCAGAAAATAAGTAGTCAGTGGTAACTGTTTGCACAGATAAGGACTGATTAAAAATTCATTAATAGATAGATAGAAAGATAGATAGATTGCACAGATACAGACACACGCAAAGCTGATAACAGAATTAATTCAAACAAATGAATTTATCGGTAGAAATATAACGAAATTTCATTTTTTTTAAAATCGTTTTCCTACCAGCAAAAACTGGGTCAACAAAAAGTGAATAACTCTGAAATTTTGTAGTCATATTATATATATTCATGAGTTCGTTTGTAGGGACTTGATTTAATTAAAAACTAATCTGATGCTCGTTAGTGACTGGCTACAGACAGGCGAAGTTTACTGGAGTTCTGGTGAGAAGTCGTGACCAGTGGGGTCCACCCAGTCGAGAGTGAGGACAAATACTCTCCAGCAATGACACGCTGGCTGCTGCCAGTTGCAGTAAAAGAAGTCACGAATTGGTGGAAGTTAGAATTTATGGGCTTGTGGCTATTGAGGAGTCGGGTCCCACTAGCTGAATCGTCAACAAGATTGCTTGTCTTGTAACCGGCAGGTCCTGGGTTCGAAACCTGGAAGTAGAGTGGGGGTGCGTGCTTCCGATGAGTTCGAAAGTAGGCTGACGAAACAGCTGGCTGTCCAGTAGTGGAGTACTGGTTTTCAATGGTTCTTTAACTGATAGCCATCCGAAATCAAACTTGGAATATATAAATATATATATATATTTATGTACATATATACATTTGCTTGAATTTTAAATCTGTAGCCATTTTGAGTAATTTTGGTGCAGACTGCGTCCCTTACCGATATCATCTAGAGAATCGTTAGGGAGTAAAGTGCACTGGAAACTTGTTTCGTACCAGCAACGCTACCAAGGATCAAACGCTGAACCTTCAAGTCAAGAAGCAGGCCTGTCGATTGTTCAGGTACTCGGGAGTGGTCTGATAGCCAAAGAACTCTAGCCTCTGTCAGTTAGTTCGTCGTTCGGAGATAGCGTCAACCAGTACCACTGGCGGGCATTCGCTTCACACCCACCCACAACACTAGATCTCACTAGCCGCAAGTACTCAGTAGAGCTTTAGGACGTAAATTTATCAGCAAGCGAATTAGTGGGATTCAGAAATTTCTGAAGTTTTGGATTTGCAGAGATTCTGATTATTTCCAGTGCAGATCTCATCATGAATCAATACCAAATCACCACTGTAACCTTAAAGTTCAGGGTTCAGTCGCTGATTTAGTCATTATTGAACACCACCGAAGAGTCCCACAGAAAAGGGTAAAACAGCTTTCCAGTGCTCTGTGGTTTTCAATGATTCACTAACTCATATCAAATCGTGATGTAATTTACACTGAAATACTTTAACGGTGTTTTAGTTGAATTACATGTCATGCTATTTTTAAACTTCTTAGGGCACAGGATTTCATCATGAGATGATATCGGTAAGAAAACCATTAGAAAACCTGGGATTAGTTGAAATTTGTTTCATCCTGGTTTAGGACCCTTCAACGGTACGCATCCATCGCCAAGGTTCGAACCCAGGACCTGCTACGAGCTCGTCTTGTAACCGGAATGTCCTGGGTGTGAACCCAGGGTGGCGGGTGCGTACTGATGAAGAGTCCCAAACTAGGCTTACGAAACAGCTGTCGAAGATCCTCAGATTTTCAAATGGTTCTTTAACCGATGTCAGCTCATGATGAAATCGTGTAACCAATCAAATCAAATCCCTACAAACCAACAAGAATTTTAAACTTCTTTGTTAAATCATATTGGTTTTTATAAGTTTATCAGGCCTATAATTCTCTTCAAGGGGATACAGACAAAGAAGTTTTCTCTACTATACAAAACCTGCGTCAGTGGCAGAGTGGTAAAATACCCGCCTACCGCTCATGTGTTCCTAGGTTCGATCCTCAGCCAACGGACGCACTCCTTTACCTCGCTAAGCCAGTAATAAGATTGGTAAAGAGGGAAGTTTGGGCATGAGGCTGGCTAGCAACCCCATCCAGTAAAAGTAAACAACACTACTACAGAAACTTTAAGACTCTAGCTTGAAGCGCTATGTTCCATTGGGGACGTAAAGGAATAAAAAAAATACAAAACCTGTAGTCCAGTGAACCTGTGATTTAGTGATATTTCTAAATAGGAGATTTTAATTGTTCCCCCTAGTTTCTGTCTCCCACAGTTGACAAGATGGTAACAAAGGGGGCAGGTGAGTAGACGCCTGGGTGCTGACCAGTGATATTCGATGAAGGTTACATTATACCACATCAGTGGGTATTTGTTTTTCTTGATCTTGAGGTTTCATGAACAATGGATTTGAATCTAGTCATTATCCTACATTCATAGTCTGTGGTATTACCTAACACAGATATTTTGCATTCGATCAATTTCATTGGACGACGCATACAAAGTCTACTTATGCTGATTGGTTAACTTGATAACTGACAGATAGATGGACAGACAGGTAGGTGCTCAGCAGAGACTAGATACAGGATAAAGTTAATTGAACTTTTAATGAGAAACCCTGGCTAGCAGGATACACCAAATTGGGTTTGAGGGCAGATACTCGCTGATGATATTGGCTGGCGGCTGATGTATACATATCGTGAATTGCCAGGGGTTAGAATTCATCAGCCTTTGGATACTATTCCGGTAGCTGAATGTTCAACGACCTTACCTTGTAACCCAAAGATACTGGCTTTGATCCTTGTTTGTACCATAGGTACGTACTGCTGAAGAGTCCCAAATTAGGAGTAAACAGGTGTCTAGTACTCCCTTGTTTTTTCAGTGGCTTTCTAATGGATATCAGTTCGTGATCGAACCTGAGATGGATAGATAGACAAACAGATAGACAGGCAGGCAGACAGGTTCGTAGACGAATGGATAGTCTCACTGACCAAATGAAAAAAGCCACTTACCTAAATCAAATCTTGAACTTCGCTGACCACAGATTTGAACAATTTCACTATTGTCAGACCATCCAATAGGAAAGAGAATGCAACACAGAAGGATTAGAAGACCTTGGAAAAATGAGAGAGAGAGAAAAAAAAACAGGAGATGATGAAGATTAGAAAAGATAAAAAAGGTTAAGGAGATTTCATTTGCATAAATTTTGACTGTGGATAGCAAAAAACAAAGAACGTATCAGGCTACTGAGTACTACTATTTTTGATGTAGAAGTGTAAAGTCCTTGTGACTTTTATAGCTCTATACGATAGTGAATAACCCTTGATTACGCACAAAAAACTGAAGGAACAAAGACAAACTGTCAAAAAGATAGAAGCAACGTGGAATGAATGTCTGAAGTTAAGTATCTTGGATTAATTCTCTCTTCTGACCTATCCTGGTCCTCCCATATCTTAGCGATTTCTAAAAGAACACTTTTTACATCAAGAAGTTAAGGCACTCAGGCATAATCCAACCACTCCATTTACAGTTTGTCAAATCGTGTATTTTACCTAATCTTCCTTGCTGTTCACCCGTATTCTTTCCTGGATTGCTTAAAGAAGACTATGTCATACTTCGTAGAACTCTGAAGACTGTCAGTAGGACGAGTGGTATCCCAGTGGTCAATATCGTTGGCATCGTCATTGATAGGCACTTGATTTCATTCAAGGAATCTTGTCAGACTGTGAGCATCCACAGCAGCACCCGCAGCTTCAACCTTGTGTCTCCTCAGGTAAAACAAGAAGTCTTTGCAGAAGACTTTATGCACGTACGTCTGAGTATAAAAATTCCACTATACCATATTTAGCACGTACTTTATGTGATGAAAATAGTGTCAGGCATGAACTAACTAACTTTCTTTGCCCTATTAAATAAACCATTTCCTCCACCCTTACACCATCAAACTTTATTGTTATTGTATTCTTATATTTACAATACTCTCAATTTTTTGTTTTTGTTTATTTTTTTTCATAACTGTGAACATAATTTAAGCCGTGTTAATAACTGTTAATTTTGTATTTCCCCTCACCATACTATATCAACAGAATATTAGATCCAATAATCTATAATATGCTAAAATTTCCAAACTGAATCGACACTACTGTTTGAAACAAACTCACTGTTATTATTACTATTATTATTTTTTTTATATCTTTTTGATTACAGCTTGATACCACACCGTATTTTCAGTACAAGTATGAAATTCTCAGCATGGATATCGGTAGCCCAAATTTCGCAGGCCGACCGTAGATATCGGGTGTGCGTCGGCAGGCGATCGAACCCGGCCATGTGCATGGTCGGCGAGAGTCCTAACCACTGTGCCACCAACGCACAATTCGTGCTTCGTATATTTTTGACTTTATATCGTAAACGTGGACAAATTCTTCTGGTTACTTTTGTTTTAATTTTTAATTTTATTTATATTTTTATTAAATTAGATGCAATATTGTGACAAATGCTGAGAATTCCATTCTGTATTACAAGTACTGTTTTTGGAATAAAGTAGATTATTATTATTATTAGCGTATTGCTGGTCTTATTAACATGAAGCGAGACGAAAAAATACAAAAGGAATACAGTCGACTTTGGTAAAGAAATAAGGTAAAGCAAACGAGATAGGTATTAGAGGTTGGCTGAAGGTAACTCTTGAATGAACTGGTAACGTTTTACATACATAAGCTGGGGGAGAGAGAGGGAAGGTGCTGAGTATTTACGGAAATTGTACTTTTAAGAATCACTAACTGATAACCACTACATGCTGCTGTGTTCACTGAAAGACCAGGAGACTTATTGCCAACTAGATTAAGGGACTGTGCGTTATGGTTGAGGTATTATTATATTATTACTTTTTCCCTGGGTTCATAGTGGAACATACGGCTTCGACAGCACATCCCCACTTCATTCTATTCTCTGAGGTCTGCTTCAGCTGATCTCGCTATCGCTCAGACACATGTACAACTCGTCATTCCCCATTTGGGTTCCCCTCGAGGGCTAGTCTGGCACGCGATGTCACTCGACGGTTTCTTCAACGTATATCCGATCCATCTCCATTTTCTCCTACATATTTCTTGAGCAATCGGCTCCTGGTTGGTTTGTTGCCAGGGTTTCTTGTTGCTAATTCCTTCTGGCTGGCCATTTGATCTTCAGTATTGAGCTGTCGAATGGAGCTGTTAATAAAAGTTTGTACCTGCTAGAAATGCTTTTCGTGACGAGGAGTGGTGAAAGATTACCATCAACTTTGAAGTACTTGTAAGTATTCTGACAATAAATTTATGTTTATTTTCCGTAAATGGAGACGGAAAAGTTGACACACTTATGGTAGGTCTGTCTGACAGATCTGTGAAATTCGGCATCGGATCAGCAGCCACTTTCACCTAGCTACACCACTGCCCGTAAGCTTCAAATTCCTCTTCGGATGATATCCTCCATATCATCCTCAGAAGTCCAACATCTTACTTCATAATCGGATTCCCCTCAACGACGTAGAGTGCCACTTCATTCACGTGTCTCCTCATTGTATGCCCAGTTCATCTCCATTTACTTCAGTGTATTTGTCAGATTCTTGGTCAGTTAGCTGTCTGAGTTCCTTGTGGACACCTGATCACCCAAGACCCTTCGATGTCAATAATAGTAGTGATGTTTCATTTACACCAGCGTACGTTAAGGTTGAAATTTTCAAAGTCCCACATCAGTTTATACATTAAACAGTGAGTAATACTCACTATTTGAAGTCACCGGATAATACTTGATTTGGGTTCTTCTTAACTGACTGGTTGGGAAGAACTAGGAAGACCACTTTTAATGAACTATATTAAGACAACACAAGACAGTATATTACTAACCGCCCGAATACACATAGGTACAATAAAGAGGAACTATATCCCTACAGGTTAGCAACACACCGGTTAAAATTCAGTGACATAACCTCTGATCTAATTCCATTGTGAGTAAAATTTATTTTGATAAAGTCTAACAGTGTTACACAGTAATATTTACTGATCAACACGTTTTGAGCACAATTTAATGCCACTTATAGTCATATCAAGGTACTCACACAACTTTCTAACTTCATCAATATAATTCCATAATTTTTCATCACTTGATTTGATTGGTAGTTGTATTTTCCACATTTCCTATTACATGTGTTGTATGTCGACTCGATGAACAAAGATTCAATAATCAACCTCTCTCCACCTACCTAGATTACCTTTTAGAATTTTAACCCTCTCCAATCCTATTGTGTGGTTGTGTGTTAATGCATGCAATGCGATTCCTGAGCATTTTTCTAAATTACTTATCTTCTCGGGGTCGACTATTCTGTCCTTAGCTAAATTCTTATGTTCCAACAATCTAACTACCCCCGACCTACTGGTTTGACCTATGCAGCTGACCTAGCTCACAGTCATTTCGAAGTATTTTGCAAATTGTATTATTTCGTCTAATTGGGTCAACCTGGAGGGTCCTTTAGATTACAGAGCTTGTCCTGCCTGAGTGAGTTTGTAGGTTTATATGCCACTCTAATTCCTGCTTTATTAAGAATCCTACATAGGGAGGGTCTCAGATGTCCTCTTCTCGTATGGTATAACCATAGACGCCTCACATTCTCTCTTATTTATGTTATCATTACTAGTTTCGTAATTATTTTTATTTTGCTTTTGACCTATTCTCATCTTCCTGATGAATTTTATAGGATATTTAGTTATTTAACACCAACCAACGCTTCTTCTGTCTGTTTTATTTCATCATTTAGATCCTTTTTGTGCTACTTAGTACTAGTGCTCGGTTTTTTAGACACTTAACTAAGTCTGACTTCACAGACAGATAACGAATGAGCTGATGAATTAAAGTTTAAATGTCTGTTAGCAGAATGCGTCGGTGTTTTTATAAACACTAAAGAGCAGTTTACTTTCTTCTTCCCTTCGTTTTATTTTACGATCTATCATCATAGCTAATTTTCCTTGTTCATTTTCTGATTCAAATATCAATTTTATTCCCTCCACTAGTGAGTTTATGTGTGTGTGAAGGAACTGGAGATACGTTCTGTATTTAACACTGTGAGTGAAAGTGTCATTCACATATCTCCACCATATTTTTGGAGTAGGATTAAACGTATTAAAAGCCATATTTTCCCAGCTATCCATAAATATATCTGCCACGATAGGGGATATTGGTGATCCCATTGCTACACCTTCCGTTTGTTTAAATATTTCACCCTGAAATTTAAAGATAGTAGATGTGAGGCATAACTGAACTCGTAAAATAATCTTCTCAATAAGCAGCTTTGTCCTATGGCTAAGTTCAGGATCTGCAGTCAGTTCTCTTTTAACCACTTCTTAGCCAATATTGATTGGTATATTAGTATAAAGACTAGTTATATCAAAACTAACCATTGTTTCATCCTTCTCTAATTCAATGTCATTTGATCTATTTTTCATCTCATATGAATTAGTCAGCTGGCCTAGAATTTGAGCGATTTCTAATGGGGCATAATATTAGAGCTAAGTGTTTTGATCATTCATAAGTAGGGGCATTCCTGAAATCTACTCTATTACTGTATAACACTCTGTGAGACTTAATCAAAATAGATTTTACCCACAATGGAATTATACTCTACCACAGTGCACAAGTTCTATTCTTATATCAACACCTCTGATCTAGATTAAAGTCAAATATTCAGTCAACAAATTACATTGAGTACTTCAAGTAAACTATGTCCTCTGTTCTTCCTAACACACACTCACAAAACTCATTTAGTCTACATATGCTTCTTCGTTATGTGGTGTGTAGTTTTCGAGGTATGTATGCATCTATGATCACTCTACTTACCTTTGAGTCTGCGGGCCATACGCAAATGCTGGTCAAAGTTCATTTTATAAAACTATAAAAACCAGGTAGCAATAGATTTAAGAAAACTAGTGTTGACCTGACCTTTTGAATACTTCATTTGTTTATATAAGACAACGTTGAAGTGACAGATAAAATACTGATTAAATTTGTGTAAAATAGTACAATGAATAGTGAATATCTCATCTTACATATGTCGATCAATAAATAACATCAGTTGCAAATGGTT